CCCGGCGTGAGTTTAAGCCACCGGGTCCGGGGCTCGAACCGCGGTTGACTACATGGGAGTTCAGCGACATAGCCATTACGCTACCTGCTGGTCCCCTCCCAAATTCTCTTTAAATGAAGTAATGAGAACTGAAGCAGGAAGAGAGTTCAAACTTGTAAAAACATCCTGTTACCAGCCTGCCTGAGTCAGCTACAGGTGCTTTCCCTTATTGATCATATAGTTCACCTCCTCAGGCTTTGGCAAGAACACGTGAGCAAGTAACACAAACTCTCCAGCCTCCTTTCACCTTGGCACTTGGCTAGGGAAAAGTCAAAGATTAAAGGGAACATGACCCTAGCAACCAAACTGGAAAAGCTATCGAATCTATGAAAGAAAATAATAATTAAACAGACCACTCCCCACAAAAAGTAAAAAGCAGGGGCAGATGACTGCATGGTGCTAACATGCACTGTTCTGCAAGGCTGACCCACATAGAAAGGTTCTGGATTTGTGTCCGGAGGCCTCCCTGAGCGTGCCAGGCATGTGTGGGATGTGCCTACTATCCAGGGCTGCTGAACGTGGAGGTGGATCACAGCGTTGAGATGCCACTGGAAATGCTGCCTCTTTTATTTTTTTTGGAGTCCAGCAACATGGCCATTACACCAACTGCTGGTCCCTGGAAGTGCTGCCTCTTTGTCTCTCTCGCTCACACAGAATAAATATATAAACCAATTTTTTTTTAGGGCCAGCCCCTCAACGTTAGTTGTTAAGGGAATTAGATCCCACATGGCTAACTGCAGTATGGATCCCAGCCTTGGTGGCTAAAAACATGCCAGGTATTTGTGTGTGCGTGCCCCAAATCCCATAGGACAGAGGGAGAAATGACGGGACTGGAGTGATTCCATGTTCCATTGTGGGGAGAGGGGGTGCTTTCTCTCTCCTCCCCTCTCTCTGGCAAGCATACGTGCCACACCTCTGCCAATTAAAAAAGAATTTTTTTTTTAAGTAAAAAGCTTGGCTGTTTTATTAAACTAAGGATTATTTTCTCTCACCTTATTATAAAGATATGCATGTTTGTCTTGGAATTTCTGTATCTGTGTGACATGAAATTCTAATTAGAACAGCTAGCTAATCAAACGGAAGCTTCATTAAGTGGAAATATTAGACATCCTGCTTTTTATATTTTGTGGAGTTTACCCTCCAAGCCTTGTATCTAATTTACCATCTTCTGCCAGGAAAAATATTATGAACACCCAATTAAGGTCAAGCAATAAAAAGGCTATTTTCGGGACCAGCAGATAAGTAAAGGCTACATCACTGGACTCCCATGTAGTTAACCGTGGTCCTGGACCCGGTGGCTTAAACTCATGCTGGGCACGTGTGCTTGTGTGCCCAAGATCCCGAGAGGAGAATGGAGGAGAAGGGATTGCGGCGTGACAATCCCCCCTGGGGGGTGATTTCTCGATTTCTGTCTCTATGTCTCTCTCTGTCTGTCTGGCGAGCGCACGCGCCCTACAGTGAAAATCTCTC